TAAATGTCTATAATTGGTAACAGAATCCGTTGGTTTATACCAACGGGTTCCCATACTTAATACTTCTTGAATTCACTCTCACGAGGTCATGTGTGACGTCATGAGCTGCGGTGAAATTTTCGCTTCTAGCGTTTTATATGCACGTGTTTATCGTTGCTTGGAAACCATCTATGTAAACAATAACAGACTACCATCACCGTTTTGTCCATATATTGCCTAATATATTGTACAGTAATTGACATCTTTGATAATGGCTTATGTAGGCCGAAAGCTTAGATTGGATTTAAAAGTATGGATCAATATTGTGATTTCCTTTCTTCGTTTAATGATAATATTATTAAGCTTATCAGACGTTTTGAAAAGAATTTACATAAAATATACAACACTTGTCTATATTATTTAATTAAACATGTATGAAAATATATATATATATATATATATATATATATATAACGAATATATATATATATGTGTGTGTGTGTTGTAATAGGAAAGAACAGTTAGATTGATGATCCAAAGTTCTTTAGTATTTTTTAGAAAAACAGTACTCGATATTGAAGTAGAGCTTTAATATATATATATATATATATATATATATATGTGTGTGTGTGTGTGTTAGACGATATCATCAACTAACACATTACACCATACATACCTCGTAAATACAGTATTAAGTGAAGTTTTAACTATTAATTGGTAAACCGAAGAAGCGGGATTTTGGGATATGATGGGACGAAGAGCGAAGTTAGGATTGTGCATTTTCATAGTTCCAAATATGTATCCTGGTTTGTAGTCTCGGATTTTTGCGGGGAGTTTTAGGTTGTCCTGTTCTGCGTTGTTGACTGTGATCAATTTATTAATTTTTAATTTCAGCTGATTAGAAGGATGTTTGTGGAAGTTTTTGGTCAACTATCCAAAATCATCAACCAACTCATTACACTATATATACCCAGCAAATACAGTATTAAATCAACACACCAATTAATCCAAATCCAAAAAAAAACCACAAAAACTTAATAATTAAATCATACCCTCACTTGATTTTTAAAGTTTCTTTACGAATATCCCAGTTAGACAAATGATTAATATAATTTTAATAATAATTACAACAATCCATTCCTCCCTCCACTGAAAATCAAATCCAGTATATTACGAAAACTAAAGGGTGTTTCATTAAGACGGATCAAAGTCAGCAGTAAATAAATCAGTGTTATCGGTGAAAAGTTATTTATCTATTGGATCATGTTATTTAAGTCATGGCAATTATGTGTGAAAAATAGTATCATCCAAATGTTCTCCAAGGCTTCGGCGACACACATCCAGTCAATGGTCAAAATTTTTGATGGCATTTCTGCATAGTTACTCCTCGATCTCACCACTATGCCTTATTATCTCATCCTTCAACTGTTGAATTGTTGCTGGCTTGTTGACATAGACCTTTATTTTTGAGATGACCCCAAAGGAAGAAATCTAAAGTCGTCAAGTCGCCCGATCATGGTGACCAATTGCCTTCGCTGCTTCGAGAGATGATGCAACCAGGGAACTTCCCATCAAATTCAGTTTGAACGTCCATTTTCGTAATAGGCTTCGATAACTTTAACACGTTATTTGATTGTTAATCCTTCCATGGTTGAAATTGGCAATAGAGAAATAGTACCGTGAATAGAATAGAGAATAGCGGTCCATAGAGTAATAGAGAATAGAATAAATATGGAAATCCGAATAGTAATAGAGGATAGACTAGGTTAGTCATCAGCTACTTCCTACATATATGTGTTTCCTCTATGGTCACGTGGTCTAATTAATTCAATAATAGGTTCGGTTGTATTTACGCACTGGCGATCTATGTTCAAACTCAAGTGTCGGTAGCGACACTTCATTCCTATATAACAGGATGAAAGAAAATGAGAAAGACTTTAGTGACAAGAAAGGACAATAAAAGAATATAATTTAGGAAGGCTGAAAATGATGATTGGTGTTGCACTCAATTTTTTTCGTATATAGCAAGGAAGATAGTCCGATATTCGAGAAGATAAACTATTAAGATAGAACTGAAGGTTGCATCTACCTATTTCAACAGTAAAAGTTTGAGACCTAGTTGCCATTCTAGTACTACGGTTACTAGGTACCAATGTCAGCAGAACTATTGCCCAGAAAATATTTCTTGAGACGTCAGAGTGAAGCCACATCACGGCGATTGGAAAGTAACTGAAGTCGAGATGCCAGGTTAGAACCGATAACATTACAGCCCTTTTTTAGATTTATTCAGGAATCTCGAGATATATAGCAGGATCACCAGACCACATGAATGCACAGTCTAAGGGCAGATATATGAACCTGCAAGATGGATTCTGCTTGAAAAAATCATCTGCTACGACACAGTGAACCAAATTTCCTAGCAACAGACCTTGCAAGTGATTTAATATAATCATTTTACTTCATATCAGGGAAAAACGCGAGGTCGTTACATTCTTTGATGTATAAACATCCTTGGAAAGGTATGAATATCTCCTCCTCCTCTGGCTTAATGTTAACAGTAGAGCAGATTTGGCGTTCAAGTCACTGTTAGCACTAAGACTAAGTGTACAACTCTTAATTCAAAACCGACTGGACGTGGGCCTAGCAAGACTATCGCTTAAAATGTACTTGCTACTGAATCCATTGTAGCAACTACTAATGACTTGAGTCTGTAGCCCTATATTCAACAGGGGGGGATTTTTCTTATATGTGCCGTGACTCCCCAGGATGTTGGCACTGTTTCCTTTCTTTAGTAAATCTTTGCCTTTTTTATTTCTCATGTAACTTGTTCCGCCATGAAGCTCGCTATGTAAGTTATACGTTGTTTTTTCTTGCCTTCAGTCTGTCCTGTGAGTATCAAATTTTCCAAACCCTCTTTCCTCAGCCGTAGAAATTTCAAGTGTCTTTTTTGTTTTCCATTTTCTTCGTCGTTGTTTACATGTTCCGTCCAGCACCCTTCTGTAAAACCACGTTTTCCTTCAAATCTGTTCTTCATCTGTGCATAGATTGTCCAGCATTCACGACCATATAAGTGAATTGATATTTCATAAGATTTCAGTATTCTTTTATTTGTTTGTAAAGAAATCTTGCTGTTTCATTTGGAAGCCATTTTTTTGCTATCCCAGTTCGCCTTCGGATTTCAGTGTCGAGAAGAAACCGGTTCGCCACGTGTAACGGGTCGCGTTTTCGTTTCCTCCATCCACGGCATAAGGGGGCAGTACGCTCGCGGGCCCGACAGAAGACGCCTCCGCCCCCCGACAAGCAGGGGTGGAGTTTAGAGTGCGCCTTCCGCCTACGGACACCGCGCGTCGACCTGCACGCCGGGAACGGGTCGCGACGACGGACCGGAGGGGAAGTGCGTCCGGTGCCGGTCGTGCGGATTGTGAGCGTCGCGCCGAAGCGTCCGCACCATATGATGCCGAGGAAGAAGTGGTGCGGGTGATCGCGAGGAATGGAGAGGAGGAGCCACGACGGCAGCGACGGCGGCCACGGCGGCAGCAGCAGCAGCGACGCGAATCGCCGACGGTGGCCACGGAAGTCGGAATCCGCTAAGGAGTGTGTAACAACTCACCTGCCGAATCGACCGGCCCCGAAAATTTATGGAGCTGGAGCGACGGACCAATGCCGGACCGTCGCGGCGAGGAGCGCTTGCGCTGGAACGAACGAAACAATGCGCGCGCCTGACCGATGTAGCGACGAGTAGGAGGGCGCCGCGGTCAGCACGGAAGCCTAGGGCGCGAGTTCGGGTGGAGCCGACCGCGGAACAGGCATCTCGATGTCAGTCAATTTCTCACCGACGTGTTGTGGTTTCCTTTTGTATTTTCTAGACATATTTTCATGGCAACTGTCTTGATGAGCTTTCTTTCTTTGGTACATTAATTACGTGAATTTAAGCATGCTATTAGATTGTCAACCAGGTCTCACCGTTTTACTCTTGAAATATTTATCCACTTATATTCTAACAGCTTCGTTTTCTCACCTGCTAAACTCCCTTCCGATTTTTTGCTTCCCTGCCAATTACAATTTTCAAAAGAACTAAATGCAACATCAATCACCATCTTCTATCTTCGTTAACCCTGTTCATTGATTGTGCTTTTCTCACTCCTCCTCACTAACCTTTTCCTTTAATTCCTTTTCACTCCCTGAATTCTAGTGACATTAAATGACGATTTAAAAAAATAATACTGAGTACCTTGAAAAATAATTTATTTTTATCGAAATTAAAACGTTTCCTTTTTATAATGAGATGATAAACCTTTAAAATAGTTTTATATGTTTTATTCTAACATTAAAATATGAGCTCCCTTTTTTTTATATTTAAGCTTTATTTTATTTATTTTGAGAAAGCTAAAATTGTATAGCAAAAAATGATTTTGTAGATTATACTGTGACTGATCAAGCCACGGGTGGTTTCAGGGGTTTTTTGCTAAATGGTGCTCCACGGTTGGGTTGAGGAGTTGAGCATGATAACTATAAAATCAAGACATTACTTGATAACACTCCGGCTGGGAAATTCGACATTCTGCGACGCGGAAAATAACAATCATCAAATTCCATTGATGAAAATCATATTCATCAGTTTTGCTGTGTTCGTCGCTAACATTTAATCCCCTGAGTACCATTTATTAGAATCTCTACAAAATTTACTTTAAAGCAAATATTTTGGGTTGATTAATTTTACTGATCGACTTTTTCAAATTCAATTGGTTAGGTAGAAATTTGAATTTACCTTTCGACGAAATTTTGTTGAAGTATTTGAGTGGTGATATCTAGAGAAAATGTTCGATCATTCATTTTAAATTCTGTATAATGAGACAGAAAATGTTCCTTAAGGCAAATATTAAAAAAAAAACGTTCTAACAAAGAGAATGAATTTTTAAAAATCGATCAGTAAAATTAATCGAGACAAAATGATTTTCATATTTACTATAGTGAACAGTTGCTGTCTAAGTACACAACATTTAAGATTTCCTCGGTGAAGGAACCTTAAATATCTTGTAAGAATAGAAAACATGACTGAAAGTTGTAAAGAGCCATGATCACCCACATCCTGAAAGAGCATTCACATAGAAGAAGGTACAAAGATCCACAGAGTCATATATATATATATATATATATATATATATATATATATATGGAAGATTATATATATATATATATATATATATATATATATATATAGATTATATATATATATATATATATATATATATATATATATATATATATATATATATATATATATATATATAAAAGTCTCGCATGAAAAAAAAATGCTGAACCGAGAAAAAGACGTTCAACTGACGCCTCACTTGTGCGCGATTGGTAAAACTGTCGATGTACACATAACTGAATTGAAGAAAAACTCCCCAGCCATGGATTCAATGATTCCACGGATGCAACACACACAGACACATGCACACGTTCATTTTATTTTTTGTATATATATATATATATATATATATATATATATATATATATATATATATATGTATGTATTGATCACTGATATTATTATTATTATTATTATATATATATATTAAATAATATTATTATTATATATATTAAATAAAAACAGTCCACTTTAAGGTTACATGTAATAAATTATTTCACCACAGGCCTTTTAAAGGACTGCGGATCATCAGACTTTACTTCCAAACAAAAAATGAAAAGAAAATTTTTCATGTGGTGAAATAATTTATTACATGGAACTTTAAAGTAGTCTGCTTTTATTTAAATTATTTGCTCTGGATTTACATTGAGCTCTCTAGATTTTATCCTCCTTAGGTTTACCCATACGGATTACCTAGTTTTTCATAAACTATATATATATATATATATATATATATATATATATATAAATTTCCAAGAGTATAAAATCCAGGTAGAACTCAATGTCCAGGTCAGAGTAAGAATATAATATAAAGCCCAAACACTAATAATCCATGGTTATAATTTATTATATTGGAAACGCATTCACGATCCACTTCATCAGACCTACAAATTCTGATGAATTCGATTGGGATTACGATTCCAATGTAATAAATTATAACCCTCGAATATTAGCGTTTGAGCCCTTTGTATTTTATATATATATATATATATATATATATATATATATATATATATATATATATATTCTTATTTCATACTTGATGGCTCTTGTTTTATATTTTTAAATTTTCGATGATACCAAGTGACGTCATCTAATGACTAATAAACATTTCAGTTAACTTGATGAATATTTATGAGCGTCTGATTTTAAAAAATTGAGTAACTTACATTTCATTTTGTTCATAGATACCTTGTGCAAAATAAAATTACATTTTTCTTGATAAAGTCTGTCAGATGGCAAAACGCGTCGGCTAAGTTTAATTCTCCTCATGTCTTTTTATTTATTTAGTCTCTTCTACAGATATATTCTACGCACACACACGGACACACACACTCAGAGATATAACAGCTATCCTGGGAAATCCCTAAAATTGTTTTTGTAAGAAATGGAAATTTGCTATTGAGCCTATTCAGACTTTAACAATTACGTTGCCAATTTTACGTTGGCAATAACATTGCGGAGAGTGCAAGGAATTTGAAGAAACTTTTCACTCGATCCTTAGGGAAATATAACGAATACATTTTGTGAGAATATGTAAAGGTATAAAATAACCTAATAATTATTAAAGGACAGAATAAAAGTTTTCGCTTGGTTGCAACCAGAATAGCTATCTTTAGAACATATAAACTAGGGCCGTGTCCATATTTGTTAACACACTGAGAGTAGAAAAGATAGACAAATTTAAAGAAACTGTAAGAACTGAAAATTCCAGAATGTTTAAAATAATTCCAGCCGCAATAGGGGTGACACCAGGAGTTTGAGATCATCGACAGTGCTGACGATTTGACGAGATTTGCTGTCTCTCGATCCTCAGATTAACAATTCTATTAGGATAATCCAAATGAAAGCGATTATAGATACGAAATTATATTTCCATTTTGCATATAGAATATACGGAATCCTCACAGTAAACAAGTTCGGTTTTCATTAGAATAAAATCACACACACACACACACACACACACACACACACATATATATATATATATATATAATTAAATATACAAATGAAATGCAAATATAATAAAAAGACGAAATAAGCGCACTATGTATTGATTGAAATATTGATATTTTGAATTATGAATACCAGGTAAAAAATTAATTAGTAAAAATTTTCTATGAAAATATAAAAACAAAAATTGATATTCAAATGAATACAAAGCGGAAATAATATTTTCTTCTAGAAAAAAATCTGAAAAAAAGGCGGGAAGGTATTGGCGTCGACTATTTTTTAAAGAATTTTCATTCTTTCTTTTAATCCTGGGAGAAGTCTTTCTCCCTGGAAGGCATGCCAAATAATAAGCGAGAGAAAATAATCGATTTACTTATAGAATGAAAACGGAAACGAGAAAACCCTTGGAAAACCATCAGCACAAGTGCCTCAATAAATCAACAACAACAACTACTACTACTACAACAACTACGACGACGACGGCAACGACGACGACTACTACCACTAAGAACAACATCAATAAAAGATGCCGTAACAAGGTGGAAGGAGAAGAAGTAGAATAGAAAGAAAAAGGGAGAAGTAAGAGGAGGATAATATTATTACCAACTTCTAAAAGCAAGATTAAAATCATTGCAACTATTAGGCTTTTTCTTTCTTTGTATGTCGTGTAGGTGATCATGGCCCTCTTCATCTTCCATTGTAGCCCTTAATAGGTTTTGTCTTTTTTCTATTTCTCCAAAACCTTGTTTTACCAACCATTTACTAAAGATCATCAAGTATTTTACGTACTGCTATTCTCTGTCCCTCTTTCCCTCAATCGGTCCTGTGAGTATCAGATTTTCCAAGCCCTCCTTTCTCGTTACATGCAACTAGAAATTTCAACTGCCAATTACTGATGTTCAGTATAAGTCTCCTTTTTGTTTCGATTTTCTCTACATCCTCGTCGTTTCACACATGATCGATTCATGGTATGCTCAGCATTTTTCTGTAGAACAATATTTTTGTTGCTTCAAGTCTCTTTGCGGAGATTGTCCATCGCAGGCGGACAGATACCGCGTAACTTTTCTTTGTTTCTATCGAATTTTATCTGTCTCTTCTTACTAAGATTAGCCTTTGGAATATACTTTTAGCCATTCCAATGCGTCTTCGGATCTCAGAGTCTCACTTTCTGTCATCTGTTAGAACACTTCTCAGATATTTAAATTATTGTACTTGTTCGATTTTAGTATCCGCGATTTGTAATTTGTATTTGGTGCTCATCCTTTTGCTGATAACCATGCAGTCATTTTGTAGTTTATACTTAGTCCTTTCTTCTAGCTTTCCTTCGCTTCCTTATGTAGGAGCTTTTTTAGTTTCCTTTCCGTGTTTACTATCAACACGGTGTCATCTGCATATCTTATGATGTTAAGATTGTGGCCGCCAATAATGAATCTTCGTCGGACTTCTAATTCTCTCAGAACTGATTCGCTGTATAGGTTGAATAAATCCAGTGAGAAGACACATACTTGTCTTATACACCTTTCTACTCTTGATATCTGCTGTATTCATTTCCTGTCTGTATGCAGGCGGTTTGCTGCCAGTATCGATTCTTGATTATTCTAATGTCCTTCCCGAATATGTCAAGACTGCTTAGAAGATCTTACAGATCTTTGTGGTTTACGTTATGGAAGGTCTTTGTGTAATCTATAAAACAAAGCTTCACGTCTTTCTACATTTGTATTGCTATTTGTGATAACATTCTGAGCATAAAAATCACCTTTCTTGTTCTGGTAACTTTGACGAACCCACGCTGTTCTTGTTCCATCTCCGGTTTGATTGTGCTGCGCGCAGTATTCATCAGAATTCAGATGATGAGATTTGTTATGTGGCTCATTAAGTTGATTATCCGATAGAATTCAATTCGTTTGCATCTGCTTTCTTAGACAGTCTTATGAAAATAGATCAGCTTCGAATGGAAAAGGTAAGAAATTTGACCACTTTTATTATAGGGATCATTATTTTTACTGATTATCGTAGTCGTCCTAAAATTAACAATAACCATGAAGATTATTTTAAGAGAAGAGAAATTTCTAAAAATAATGATGCTATTTCATTTATTACCAGTGCCATTGATATAAATAATTTATATACTTCATAGTTTTAAGACATTTTTATGTTTTCCGTTCTTTTTATAGATACAAATATTGAAGTAAATGCTCTGTTTATAATAAACAGTATTAACAACATTTACCGGCCTGAACGTCCGAGAAATTTTTCATAGAAATTATGCGTCCTCCCACAGGAATCGAACCTGTATCCTATACGAAACCGACGTGCTTTTACCGATTGAGCCACAGTGGAGCGTTTCGGATAGCAAGGTCGATTTTACTGTTTTTAAACCACAATTCTTCATGATTTTCTCTCATACATTCATATCTGCTCGATGCGTATCCAAATGTAAACAAATGACGTCACACATTATGAAATGGACAAAGTCCGACAATTTTTTAAGCCATTTTTTATGTTTATACATTCTTTTTATAGATACAAATATTTAAGTAAATGCTCTGTTTATAATAAACAGTATCAACAACATTTACCGGCCAGAATGTCCGAGAAATTTTCATAGAAAATATTCGTCCTCAATCAGTAAAAGTACGTCAGGCTATATGACGGTTCCGTATAGGATACAGGTTCGATTCCTTTCGGAGGACGCATATTTCCTCTGAAAAATATGATTAATATTTATTAATCATATTAATAAATTAGTATTATAATTAAAATTAAATTATTATTATTATTAAATTATTAATAATTATTGATTAACCCATAGCTGAGGAAAACAGGTGGATTCATACGTTTTCCAAGATTATTTCCGCTTGAATGAATATAACGAACCCAACGAGAATTGAAACTCGGCTCTTCGATTAAATATTCCAAGCCCTTATCCAATACATCACCTGATATTCCCAAGCGGTGACTCATTTAGATACTGACCAAGCTCGACGTTGTTTAACCTCGCTGATCACAAAGGAGCCGGTGTTTGAACGTGATATGACCATAAGCTTTTCAAATTAACAGAGTCACTAAAACAAAGAGACACATGAATCGTCTTAATCTACTACACAGTAAAAAGAACGAAGGAAGAAATCAAATAAATCCAAATTCTAGACGCAATAGGCAAAGATTTATTGCAAATAAATCTAGGAACACCAAAAGAACTAATGCTAGAGTAATATCGAAAAGCCATAGACAATGAAATCATGTATAGTTGATCATATATGAATGACAAATGTGCTGTCACCAACCCTGTGGAGGGAGATAAAACATACAAGGCAAAGAAAAATACTTGACAGTCGGGCATCACCTATATCAAAATAAATAGCTTAAGGAATTCAATAATAAACTAGAAAAAATAATAATAGAAAAAATAAATGATGACTCGACGAGAAGCTGCGGTGAATGCAATCAAGCGTGACAGCAGGAGCAGTAGCAGTAGCAGTGTAAGCACAAGGTTTCAGAGTCCAGTGGTTGCTAAACCTTTTTCCTCTGCTCCGCCTTTTTGGAATGAAAATTTGCTCATACTTCGCCAAATATTTGATAAAAAGTAGATTTAAACATAATAAAAACAGACAGAGGGATAAAGGGAGATAACTGCGGGTTCGAAGTCAGAACATTATAATTGATAACTCTCTCTTCCAATTTGCGTACCCTAGATACTATATTCTTAATACTTGATATAATTTATTATAAAAAAAAATGATAAAATCAGTCAATAATTATTTATAACTATTTATACTGGGACTCATGCATGCATTTACAAGTAATCCATAATAATATTTTAAATTTTGAAGTCATATTTATTTTTGGCATATTAATTTTCGAAACTATCTAAATCTTTGACTGTTTTTCAATCATTCCGCCTCACGTGCTATCCTCCCCTGCCGCACGTATGAGGCGCGCCTCACCGTTTTGGAGCCACTGTTTCAGACTTATGTGCAGAACTGTGACATTTTAATTATGAGTTCAATCCCAGGGTCGGCTAGAGGAAACAACTTAGTGAGCAATAACTGAGAAAAGAATTGCAATAAGATACCCCTATTCATGGACAGCGGAAGGAGAACAATCGGCCAAATTCCTTGAACGTTACACGGATCGATAGATACCTGAAGAAAGAGGTGAAGAATTCAAAATAATTATCTAGCATTCACTGATTTTGTTTCGAACGATAATTTGGAAAGCATCTTTCTCTATTTCAACATTCCTTTCGATTTCCTTGTCATATGTTACAGTTGCTTGTTGCTAATTATTTCCTATGGAAACCTGTTGGATATCTTGTTTAAAGTTTAAAAAAATGTACAAAATAAAATGATAATAAAATTTTGAAATTCAATTTGATAATCTCATCAATGGCCGGAGAGAAGATCTAGCATTTGTAAACAAAGAAATGATTTATTATTATTATTATTATTATTATTATTATTATTATTATTATTATTATTATTATTCGTTCCATTTTTGGTGTATAATCATTTCTTTCCGGGTCCCAACTAGAGACCTAAAGTTAGAAATGGCATCATGAAGATCATACATATTTTACATAAATAAACCTCTTCATAAGGTGTGAGCTTTACTTGTGAGTACAATGTTTTTGTACTTTTTAAGTCTTGGGCTACGAGGAATCCTCTCAATGAGAACTATGAGAACCTTTTCCCGGTCAAACCGAGGCCCCCAACAGGAACAGTTGATGTCCTCACGTGCCACATGTCTGAGATTTTGATTTCAATGTCCTTGTCTTCAAAGATACATTACAGTCTGCAGGGACTGCCATGTCAAGAAGACATATTCTGATTTTGTGATTTTGGGTGAATAACTTTGATTGTTCTGTCGGTGTGTATTGTAAAGTCTCATAAAATTGTTACAGACCCTCCGTCTCTAACCGGAATGGGCGGTGTCCATACCATTTTTTGCAGTTTCCTTTCTATATTTCCTTGCATATTTTCCAGTGCAGATATTGACCCCATAATGCCCGGTTTTATATTCAGTGAGCGTAAACTGAAAGAAGAAAGTTAATTGCTTCTGGATATTTATTACATAGGCTAACACAATTTCTCAATATGTCTGTTTGGTAATTTCTAGTTAGCAAATATTGGTCTTGTGCAGCAAGAATAAAACCTTTCAGCGCTTAACCCTGCACTACATAACCGCGGATAGGAACGCGGTTTGTTTACATCAACTGGTTTCGTACGGGCAGAGTACTGACCATGAAGAGGCTTAATGTGCATTCGTTTCTGCATTTGATACATTGCATTTGCTATTGCTTCTTTTTTAGGTTCTTTGCCAGAGCAGTGGGTGTATTAAGGTTGATTTGCACTTCTTCATCCACTTAAAATTCTGTTTTGAATTTTTTATCTTCTTTTATTAGTGATTAATTTTA